AACTAAAACCTTAATTTGCAGAGAAATCTGTTTTGTACCTAGTTCAGTATTAAGAATCGTCTTTCTCTTCTGTATAAACTTTCTTTCTAAAGCCTGCAGTTTGCATTACTTATCTAGGCTAGTCAGTCTTTCATAAATGCAAAACATTTTCCAAAGGTTGAAATGACATGATTTTCATCATGCAATACCTCTCCCAACTCAACTCTTAAGATTGGAAGCTGCAAACATACTCGTATTTCATTAATCCCTTTACGAAGAACTCCTTATTTCCAGCATCAGGAAGCACAGAAAGTGGTCCATAAAGAAAAAAACTTGAGCAATTGTGGAGCTTTAAAAAAAAAACTAGCTCTTTTGTGAAGAAACTTTTGCTAAATTGAGAAAAATAAGAAGTAAATTTGCTTTCCATGATAAAGCAAGCAATAAACTACCTCTTTTGTTCATAAATCACTGACATTTTTGGAAAGATAGCCATACTAGTTCTTTGCCTCCTTGTGTCATGATACATTAATTACATAGATTAATTATGTATTATCTAATACATAAATAAAAACAGACCTGCCCTGTCAAAGTAAGGAATCATGATATTTTATGCTGTGCTAGTTTATGTGAGACTGGTCTTTTAAGTCCATAGTAGCATCTCTCAAATTAATAGAATTTAGCTCTGTATTTTCCCTTAATCTGCCTTTCTCATGCCATCTTCCCATGACAATAGGTGCATGATGGCAGAGGTTTCTATCACACTAAGGACTTGTAGCAGGTGCAAATTAGCCTAAAAAAAATCAACCTATGGCCATTGCCATACAGCACTTGCTTATCTGAAATTGATAAAGCTAGAACGATCAATCAAATCTAATGACTTCCTATTTTAAAGGAGATAACTTTGGATCTAAAGTCATTTTTTTAACATATGGTTATCGTGTTCAATACGTTACTAAAATATTTACGAACACTAGCATTTGCTATTTGACACTCCCAATTATAGAAATTTACCCTTGAAAGTGTACAGGAGACGCAGAAATATTAAAACAATGATGATGATGATGATGATGATGATGATGATGATGATGATGATGATGATGATGATGATGATGATGATTTAATACAGCCACCCACTTCTTCGACATGTTAGTCAATGCCAGAATTTATGATGCTACATAAAGGACAAGAAACTTCCTAAAAGGCATAAACCTAGTATAGGATAATATTCATAAATCATTTGTAAATAGTGCCATAAATATTAAACAGTTGTTAATCCCAGATATAACAAGCAATAAAAGTTAAAGGATATTTTAAACCTATGCCACCAAACTGGTAATTTCTGTAATTTAGTGCCCTTGAAATCTATTATATGTTGACATGACTTTTAGGGCCATACAAACTTAGATAATTAAAGATTGCAGCTGTATTTCCAGACACAAGTCGAACTTCATAAGAATATAGCCCAGAAATAAAATGTTGGTCCTTAGTCATAAAACACGTAAAATACATAAATCTTTACTTTGGAAGGATTCGTTCTGGATACATACTTTAAAATCTGGATATTTTAATTGCAGTATTCTGAGAACTGGGGTTATTTTCACATTGCATTTTAGCAGTCAACACTCAATTATGATTGCAATTATATTGTTTCATTTTAGATTATAGTGAGAAGTAAAGATTTGAGGCCACTGAGGAGGCATTTAAAATGCTTCTCACTTATCCAGTGCCAAAGTTTCTTTGAAATATTTCAAAACATTTCATCTCCTTCACATTATATTCTACTACCAGCCTCGGAGAATGGTAGAGACTTAGCAGAAGGCATTTCATACCACAATTATTGCAAGCAATTTAGTTCTCAGGATTTGGGGGGCTTTATTTTAAGCCCTTCTCTCCCACCAGTTCACCTTCCAATGACCCTGAGCTGATGTAACCTCCCCATCACAAGACTCTCACTGATGACTCACATCTGACTCATCACAAAACCCTCACTGCCCCACCCACACCTGAAGCCCTTATAAACAGAAGAGCACGACACTGACAGCCCCTAAACTCTGCTGAAGATGTTACCTAGCCTGGTAACAAAACATTTGGAAACCAACCCACAAGCTCAGAGAAGGAACCTTCACTCTCATTCTTCACTGGAGCTAGATATTTGCCACTATTGCAAACTTTATTTAAACATTTTATGCATGCTTATTTTTTGTAACAGTATTTCTCATTTATATTTTTTCTACGGTTTTGGTTTTTGTTTACACTGCAATACCTAATCATCAGATACTTTATTTAAATTCTCTTAAATAACTCTCTGGATTTGGCTGGATCCATTTGACAATAAAATAAGATCTAGCAAATGCTATCAACTTAAGTCTGGTAGACATTGCTAAAAAACATTCCTGGCAAAGCTTTCCTTTCTAAACATTTATGGATTGTGTCTTCCCTTTGGTAACCATTTATACTAATGACTAAGAAGAGACAGAACATTTGCAAAATAAAATTATAATAAGTCTTAATGTCCTTTGCCAATTAACACAAATTATTCAAAAGTCATGGCCATTTAAGGCTGCAGAAATAAGATAGTAGCTTAATGTTTTGCAATATTTTTAATCTATATATTTTCCTCTATTTTAATTATAAGCATCCATATAATTTACCACAATATTGAACAATCTCATACAAGCTCTAAAATTTATCAAGCTGATGATTAGTCTCATATTTTAATAATTAAATGCTCATTCTTTTTGTCATTATAGACATTCTAAAAATAAGTTCTGTATAAAACGGACATACTGCGTGAAACAATAACATTATATAGTATACTGCACTGAAATGGAAGTTTTCTTATAATTTCATATTTATTGGTGTTTTTTGTCTGTTTGTGTAAATAAAATGTTCCTTCCTTTGATATCATAAGCTTGACACCATAAGCTTGATGTCATTGGCTTTATTTGAACTTATGTGTAGAATCTACAGAGTATTTTTTAATTTTAAGAGGACCTTCTTGCTTTGTATCAATGAAAGGCTCCAGGAAACTTGACTTCAGTGCCAAAAGGAAGAGTTGCCATAATTCATGAAAATATGTACACCCCCAACAGGAATAAAACCAGCAAGCTGCACTGAGATACAAACAGGAGGAATCAGGTTTCCAGTATAGATTTTAAAAAAATCTTAATTTGCTACACAGTTAGTCATAATCACTCAAAGGCAATTCCCACAAATTAAATAACTCCAGTAGCATATTCCTTATTAAAAAATGATAGCGTCATTTGGAAAGAGAATAAACGGATGAGGCTGAGGAATTTCTGTGTGGATTTTTGGAATGTAGGATACATTTGACTGAGCTCCGCTTCCTCAACGAATAGCAGACATTGCAACTTTGAAAAGCATTGCAGTATCTTAAATCAGGCTGAGCAATATATAATTGTGTAAGCCCAAACCACATGTACGTGTAAATGGAAGGGCACTGGAATCCCCTATCTTTGTTCAAGCCCCGCTTTGTCCCTTACTCTCATAGACTTTCAGCGAGGTACCTCCACAATTACCCGCACCGTCGTTTGCACGGATTATGCGGAAGGCTTTTACAGTGTCGCGTCTAAAAGCATACAGTACCGGGATCACAGCCTTCTAATCTAATCTTAAGGACGTGACTCAGAATCCTTTCGAGTGGGAGGCGAGTGTGTGCTTACCCTGACATGCTCTTATGCCTATAAAGTATAATGCATAACTTATTTTTTTTTAAATAAAATTAAGACTTCCAATTTAAAAACAAAACAAAAACGCAGCACCCTCCCCCCCCCAATCAAGACAGCCCACAGCCGAGCATCCTTCCTAAACGTTCCCCAGAACGCAACCGCCCCCTCCATAAAACAGGCTGGGCTGTCTCGCGAGAGTCGGAGAAGCGGCGTTCTGCTTCCTCTCCTCCCTTTTTGTTTCCAAGCGCAGAGTGGCCCATGGAGCGCACGAGGTATCGCGTCGATTGTGACGTCAAGAAATGGAACGCGGAGGAGAGGGACGGGGCGGGGAGGGGCTTTCCCTCCCACAGCCTGGGAGTGGATCCTGCTTGGGATCGGCTGCCTCTAAAGCTGGGCGATTTGGGCCGAAAGTCGTTCTAAAGCAGAAGCCCTGCGGTAAAGGCAGCAATGCAAAAGGATCCGTGACCCGGCGTTCTTCCTTTAGCGCCCCCGTGTTGCCAAGTCTTTCATTTCAGGCGGTCTCCTTGGAAAGCTTTACACGTTCGCTCATTCACGCGTCTTGGAACAAAGAATCGGGGAGGGAGGGAGAGAAGGAAGGAAGGAAGGAAGGAGGGGCGCTCATGGAACTGGCCCCAAAACCTGTAGGGCACTCCATTCCGCAGTCTGTGGGTAGAGACTTAAAGGAAAAGCCAGGAAGATCGGGGGCTGCTTTGCTCCGCTCTGCCCAGCCAGGCAACGGGGCTCGTCCAGCCGTCGCTAGAGGGAGGTGTGGTATAGAGAAAGGAGAGGAAACAGCCGGGAGACCCGCCAAGGCGACGGCTGCTGGAGAGCGAGCAGGAAGGACAAGCTGCCGGTCGGGCTTCCCTTGCCTTGAATCGAGCGCAAGAGTCCCCGGAGGCGCCGCTAGCGAGGCAGCCCTCGGGAAAGGGGCGCTTCGGGGGATTCCCGGTAGAAAGAAGCGGTCTTAACGGGCGGCATCTGAGGTTGCCCGAGCAGGGGCAAGGGTGTCATCCTCCCTCGCCTCTGCTTCGTCCCGTTCCCTCCTGTTAAATCTGCCTGAGGGCTGCTGTTTCTCCCGCGTAAGCGCAGGCTTTGCTCGGCGGCTTGGGGTTTCCATTTTGGATGGGAGCGTTTCCGTAGCCAGCTCTACCCGGAGAGACCCCCGAAGCGTGCGCGCCGAGAGAGGGAAGTTCGCGGAGAAGCCCGCCCCTCTGCCTCCCCTCCGGCTCCCCTCCCAAACAAACAAGCCAGCCGGAAAGTCTCAAGAAGCTGCCAAGAAGGAGCGTGGCTGAGAGACTCGCCCGGAGGAAAAGAGGAGGCGGAGGAGGAGAAGAAGAAGCGCCTTTGCCCTCCCATCTTCCGCCCTGACCGCCTCCCCTTTGCTGAGTCCACCTTCCCTCAGTCCTCTCCTTCCTCGGAAGCGCCAGGGGCTGCAAGAGCCGGACTAAGGATGGCTTCAACCGCAACCTGCACCAGGTTTACCGACGAGTATCAGCTCTTTGAGGAGCTTGGAAAGTAAGTGGCTCGCCTTGCTAGCGGCCACCGGAGAGCTTTGGGCGGCGGTGCGGGGGAAAAGGAGCTTTGACAGCTGGGAGGAATGGCGCGCCAGCGGGGAGCTGCGCTGGGTCGAGCCCTGCCCCCAGGTCGCTCCTCGCCAAGGGGACAGCGCGCTTGTTCAGCGGCTCCTCCTCGCCGCTTTCGGGGCCAGCCGCCCGAGCTGCGGGAGGCTGAGCTGGGCTGTTGGCCGGGCGGAGGGAGGGGAACGCAGGTGCTCGGATAAAGGCGATCGGCTTCCCTCGCCTGTTTTGCTCGGCGTGAAGCTTCCGACCGTGAGCTGCCGCGTTTATCGACGCGCAAAGTTCAGCCCGGGCGGGCAGGGCGTGTTTCTGTGTGTGGCAGTGTGCGATCCGCTCCTGGCAGGTCTTCCCGCTCTTGGTTTCTTACGCGGGGTGTAAGCTTCTTGCAGCGATCGGTCTTGTCGGAAACAAGATTCTGACGCGGGATTTTCCACCCTGCCCGCCTCTCGTAAAGTGGAGGGGACACATGATCCTGGGAGAACCACCGATGACGAAATTGGCCCTTGGGCAGCGTGGGTGGCTTGCATTCGGACGTCCGTTCGAACGACCGCAATCGAAAAGAAACGTGGGCGGCGGGAGGCTTGACCCACGTTTAAGTACCAGGAAATGTAACCCAAAGGTGCATTTTCTTCAGGCGAAGATTGTAATTCAGAGTTAAATCATCGGGCTCCTCCTCTTGCTTCTTTTTATTACCGTATTTCCTTACCCCCCCCAAAAAATATCTATCAGTTCAGTCCTATGTTAAGTCTGTTATATAAACGACTTGAAAATGCTTGACCAATGGCAGGCGGAGTATTAGCGTTGGGAGCCTGTCATAAAGAACAGCCTAATTTTCCGTGCTCGCTCTGCAAGGGAATTGCACATGAATGCTCGTGCTTAAAACTGCAGGTAGTGAGATTTATGGCATCCAGGCCACTCCATAGAGGCTTGAGCTTAAATAAATAGAATGGGTGTTTTGGTTGTTATATCTGAGGAGGAAAACGGATAAAATGTAAGAACATTATTCCCTGCAAAAAAATATATTCGCTCATATCTTTGAATCAAAGCACAGTAAAAGCACAAAATGGGTGTGAAAAATTTACACAATTCTGGTGTTAAGGTAGCCACTTGCAACAGTACGTGCATGCGTTCAATATATTTGAAGAAGATACCTTTTCCTTACAGTTTAAATCCACTGCTGCAAACCCAAATTAAGGCAGTATTTTTTTAAGAAAAAATATAATCGTGTTTCTTGACACTGTTCAGATTATTAGATGGTTAAGTAGCCTACCCAAAATTGGCATTTATGTTACTCTTGTTTATTGATTTCCAGGGGAGCTTTCTCAGTGGTGAGAAGATGCATGAAAATCACTACAGCACAAGAATATGCTGCCAAAATTATCAACACTAAAAAGCTGTCAGCAAGGGGTGGGTACTCTTAAACTATTGTGAAATATATTTGCAGTAATGCAGCTAGACATGAATTAACTAGATGGTAATGAAAACAAAGATGTTTGCTTTTTTGTTTTAGAAAGCCATATTTATCCTAGTGTATTTTTATGGGGAAATTTAAGAGTGTTTCCAGTGCTATTTAAATTAACTATTTAGATCTGTAATTTTGGAATTAGCTCAACTATTACATTTACGTTTTCTGCTTTTCTTTGCTTTCATTGGAGAAATGGAGGACCAGTATTAATTTACTAACACCCTTTTATCTACACACCCAAGTCATTCAGTGTGGCATTAAAAAAACAAAAAACAGAGAAGTGACATGCTTCTCTATTAAAACATACTTGGTTTAAAGTAAAACTGATCTTTGTCTTTCTCCATGCTGTAAGTTAAATATTTTCAGCTTGGTTCAGTCAAATTTCCCCCCTTTACTTTAAGATTTGCAGTCTTCAATGCATCAGGAGTATGCAAGTTCAATTTTAAGGTGTCTGGGGCACTCTCCAAAATATTACAAGTAACATTTATTTTCCCCAAAAACCTCCGCTAAGTTGTGTGGAAGTTGCATAGAGCAAGGTTTCCTCTGGAGCTTCAGTATTGTTATGTAGGAAAGGCTTCCAATGGATTACGCTCTCTGTGTGTATGTGAGATTATCTCCTTAAATTTGTTTGCTTGTTCATGGTAAAGCCATATTGATGTATTTCCATGGAATATTGAGATTATGGATTATTTTCTGATGACATATATCAGAATAATGTATAACTTTTTCATGAGTATGGAAATAAATGGAACCCTTCAGTATACAGACCCATAATGTATAGCTTAACAATAAAAGCTATGGGATTGGAACACAACATTTATCATGTATATATCATTGATAATGAACTGTTTCTGTACATTTGTTTTTACACATACATCAAACTATGATATTTAGAAGATTATTAATGGTAAATTGGCAGGCAGTTTTTGTCTGAAGGATGTTTGCTTAAAATTGATACAACAGGTTTTAATAGGATATATAGCCTAATCCCTATGTATGTTTATTTTGAAATGTTATAGACACCCCGAAAGTAGCAGTCCTAAATGTAAGGCAATCTTTTCTTTAAAAAAAAAAAGCAAGATTAAATGAAAATAAATAAATAATTTGTATAACCATATACTAAATACTCTTTCTCATTGTTTCCTTTAATATTACATCCCTAGCCTTTTGCCATGTTGGAGTTTGAAGTGATACACTACAGTAGCATTTATTTGTTTGCTTGTTTGTTTGTTTTTTCTATTAACTGCCAGAGCTATGTTGTAAACTGAAAAAGATTTAATGCATTTTAATATTTTGCAGCTCAGAAACATTTCAACCAGATTTTTCATTTCATTATAAATTCAGTAATTAGGATTTGATGGACCAAATTGTTAAATTTTGTGCAATTACTAACTCTAGTTTTTTCTATTAACTGCCAGAGCTATGTTGTAAACTGAAAAAGATTTAATGCATTTTAATATTTTGCAGCTCAGAAACATTTCAACCAGATTTTTCATTTCATTATAAATTCAGTAATTAGGATTTGATGGACCAAATTGTTAAATTTTGTGCAATTACTAACTCTATAGTGATAATTAATTGCATATTTTTTAAAACTGTGCTCTGTCTTTAGTATTTTCAATATATAGAGGAAATAAAAAATCATTTAAATAGACCTTTGGGAACTGTTGAAATGCCTAAAATAACCAACTATTATACTGGCTGTAATATAAGTAATATAAACTTTTAAATGTTCCATATTTAATTTAGATGTGAATGAGGTGAGCTTTAACTATCCACCTTAGCTATTTCCATTGTCCTCCACAAATAGCTTATTCCTATTGTTTTTTGCACAATCTTTGAGCATTCCCCCCCCCCATTACCCTATAAAAGAAGGAAAGCTTTCTTTAACCAATATTATTCTTTAACCAATTTCTTAGGGGGCTCATCTATTGTATGATTTCATCTCATCCATTTTGTATAATATAAGAATTTTGTCTTCTACTATATGGATGTCAAACTGCTATGGATGTCAAACTGTATTAAATCTTGAACATTTCCCCATGATTAAATTGTTTAAAAGGCAATTGGAGAAAAAAATAATCCCATTATGACAGGTGAACTATTTCATTGAGCCTCAAACTAATTATTTTGTTAAAAGATTTAACTGTGTGGATTAAAAAAATAACAGCAAGGAACTAGAAAATCAATAGGATGCAGATGAGTTGGGAAGGAGTGTGACAATGGAAAAATATATTATAATAAAACATGACAAGTCAAAGGCAAATTGCTGCTTCTAGTTAGCAGAGTATAACAAGCGGTATTTATAATACAATATGGATTCAGCTAAGTTACATTATCCATTAGGGATGCTTAATAATCAGTTGAAGAATTCTTAAATTTATATTAACTTCCACCTCATGCTTTGCAAAGTAATGTGTGGAGCAAGTAATAAGCATGACCTTATTTGGCATAGAGAATATTAACCTACTATAAATCCATTTCTTCAGAAAAGCCAATGTGGGTTTTATACCACATTGAACTCCTTAAAGAAATGTTAAGATACAAATGAAACTTGTGATAAATTATGAATGTGTTGCTCATTTACATTGTTAGAACATGCTTAAGTCTAAAATAGCCATTTCACACAGTACATAAACTTTGTTTGGTTAACCCAAGTGCAATAAATCCCAGATTAATGTAAGAATGGCTTGTATTTTAAAAAACATTTTTATCTGAGATAACTCTAAAGAAGTATTTTTCCCATCTGTGGTTTGAAAGGGACTTCTTTATATGTTATTGTTATGAAATATGAAAGTTCAGGTGTGAACAACACTGTGAATTTTATCAGTATACAGATTAATGCCCTTAGGCACATTTAGCTTGAAAATATTGACATTGTTTTGAATACCTACATTGTGTATCTAAATGTCCTTTGACATCATTTTAAGACTGTTTTATACAATATACTATTTATTGGTGGACTTTCACTTTTGAGCATATTTATGTTGCTAAAACAGTTTGCTGTGATCCTGAAATGCTTTTTGTTATGAAAGAGAATTGTAATGAAGCAAAGGAAATAGGACCTATGATTCTTGTCACCCTGAGGGCATCCTTTCTGGAATACTAAGTGTCTAAGAGGCTATTTTAGAAATAAAATGGATAAAGCGGTATTGTGAATTTGTTTACCCTTCTGTAGTCTAACTTGGGAACTTCAGACATCAACAAGTGATTTTGATAACTCCTGGATTATAATTGGAAGTGATGTTCAGTTGCTTCTAGTTTGTAACCTTGTTGGTCCAGTGCTTTCAATTTGAAAATCAATCTTTCTTTTTCAGTGCTTTATTTTCTTTGAAACTTTTTGTAAAACTGCAGTCAATTTTTGTATCTTTCAACACAGATACCAGTACTGTTTAATTTGTAATTTGAAAGGAAAAAAAATAAGAACACATAGGGATGATGTTATTAAGGTTAATATGGTTAAAAATCTTATTTTGGGGGGCTTAATGCATTAAATATGATTTACAAATAAAACATACAATATTGTTAAGCAGAAAAGACAAATTCCATGCACATCATATTCTACTTTTTTCTCTCTTTCTCATCTTTTGGATCCACTACTGCTGCTGTTTGATATGTTGCAGCATCACCTTCTCCTCATTTCTTCTCCTCTTGTCTTGTTTTTGGGAAATGTCTTAATGCCTCTCTAGTAGTAATGCAAGAACAATAGGAAGAATGAAAACAATGTTAGTTTTTTTTATTTTTTTCTAACTATAAGTGTATAAGTGGTTGTCCCTGTTGTTTTAGAAGCAAGGACTGTCCATATCAATTCAGTTTTGTCTTTCTGGTATGATTGATGTGGATCATAAGCCACAGTGGTGCACTGGTTAGAATGCAGTATTGCAGGTTAATTCTGCCGATTGCCAGCAGTTCGATTCTCACCAGCTCAAGGTTGACTCAGCCTTCCATCCTTCCGAGTCGGTAAAATGAGGACCCAGATTGTTGGGGGCAATATGTGACTCTGTAAACTGCTTAGAGAGGGCGGTGAAGCACTTTGAAGTAGTATATAAGTCTAAGTGCTATTGCTATCATTATAGGCAAAGAGGAAAACACCACAGGATGTACTTCCTCTGAAAGTAAACTAAACACCTGCTTACCTTTGAAGAAGTTTTACTATTCTTGTGTGTATCGATGTGAATGTATAGAGAAAGAGAAAATGAGACCTGCTGGATTATGTTCATCTAGTCCAGTTTCTTATTTTCACACTGAATAGCTAGATACAAATAGAAGGCCAGGAAGAACTGCAAGCTATGGCATTTAACATCTAGTACCCAATGACACTATGGCCTTTCAATATATAGGTTCCAGATAGTTATTATGGTTTAGAAATGTCATCAAAACTGTTTACCATTGCATTTGTCTATTCTCAGTTTGTTTGGGCTTAAGGAATGCAATACAAGAAGCTTGTTAATTTTCTTTAAACTAAAAACTAATACACTGTGTTCTTTATTTTTTAATTATCACAATACGATACATAATACATTTATTGTATAAATGCAAAGTCAATCTATGATGATTTGGATCTTTAACAGATTGGAATAGTCCTTGTCTTCCCTTGTGTACTAGTTCTTATGAAGTGTGTGCTTTTCTTTGACTCAAAACTAGAACCATTGTCTGTGGTCTCATTCTGGTCCAAGTACAGGATGGAAGAAAGGGTTGAAAAGAGCAAGAATTTGCTAAGAAAATTGAAATAAAACAATTGGAAGTAGTTATTTAGTCTGATACCTACTCAGTATAAACCTCCAAATTAAAGCATCCACAGCAAAGGTGTGCCAACTTCTGCTTGACGATACTGTGTTTCCTGCATTGGATGCTATAATTTCCTTTGGTAATTGATTCTGCTGTTTAGCTCTTCTTATTCATAAAACATTTTTCCATCCCTGAACTAAAAGCTGCTTTCTTG